GGGATTTAATTTTAATAATCTGAGCTGAATGTTCCGGGGTGAAATACTTTGTAATGGATATTATATAGGAAATAATAACACCTTTAGGAAAGGGAATGATTGCAGGATTTGGTGTCTGGAGGAGCCCAGGGGTGCTCAAGACCCAAAGACCCCAAAATATGGCAAAAAGTGGGAAAGAAATATAGTTTTACCCCAAAATCTTTCAATGTTAGAGACTCACAGGAGGGGATTTAATTTTAATAATCTGAGCTGAATGTTCCGGGGTGAAATATTTTGTAATGGAGATTGCAATCATGCCACCATCTCAGCTTCCCAAGAAGACCCAAAGACCCCAAAATACAGCAAAAAGTGGAAAAAAAATACAGTTTCACCCCAAAATCCTTCAGTGTTAGAGACTCACAGGAGGGGATTTAATTTTAATAATCTGAGCTGAATGTTCCGGGGTGAAATACTTTGTAATGGAGATTATATAGGAAATAATAACACCTTTAGGAAAGGGAATTATTGCAGGATTTGGGGTCTGGAGGTGCTCACCTGTGGGGTGTCTTGGTAGGGAGGAGGAGGAGGCACAGTCTGGGTGGCCATCATCGTCAGAGCTGGTGCCGGGGAGACATGGTGCATCCTGCTTGGGACTCACATCGAGAACCTGCAGGCAGAGATGGAACTGATGGGTTATCAGGGATCTCTGCCCCTAAAAACATCCTACAGAGAAGGAAGGGGAAAAAAATAGACAGAAAGGAGAGGTGGCATCCCTCACACAGCACCCCGCTCTGCCACAGCGTCCCTGCAAGGACCTCAGGATGGTTTGGTGACTCTGATCATGCTCTGATGGCTTTTTGAGATTTGGGATTTTGGGTCAGGAATGCATTGGGGGTGAAGAGCAGCAGGTCCCTGGCAGGCAGAGCTTCACTGGAGAGCTCTGGGAGATGATGGCTGCCACCAGTGAAACTCCTTCTCTTTTCCCCTTGTGAACCCTGCCGCACCCAGGATATTTTCCTCCACCCCTCACTCCTAACCACGGTGCCTAAATGGGGATTTCCATCCCCTTTCCAGTCATTCCTCTTTTTTGGAAGCASAAACTCAAATCATAAACACAAAACTTGACTTTTTCTTCAATGATACCCCMAACCCTCCCAAAATGATGGATCCCTCTGCCTTTGGCCACCACGGAGTCGCATCCTCAAGCACTCCATGCTCAGTTCAGAAGGGAATTGAGAATCCATGAGGAAATCCAACAAAATAAAAAGGTGACTCCTGTGTTGAGGTGACTGACCCCATGGTGACTGAATGCACAGAAACTCCTGTTTGATGAGCAAACCTGCAATCTGCACATCCCATAAACTGAGGAGAAAGCCCTCATGGCTGCCCTCAACCTCTCTGGAAGTTGCTGCTTTCTGAAAATGCAGWKWTMT